GGGGGGGGGATGGCCTGGTACAAACAACCCCCTCCCCCCCAAAAAAACCCATCCCCGGTGGGTCTCAGAGCACCCACACCCGGGATCCCGGGTGGGTAGGAAATGGTTTGTTGCTGCCCTTCCAGAGCAGGAGCCTGCACGGGTGGAAAAGCTGGGGGTTTTTTGGTTGATTTTTTTGCTCCCAAGGACAGAGCTGAACCCCAGGACTGACCTGGGACACTGAGCTCCCCCCCCCCCCCTCTCCCCACCTGCAAGATACAGCACAAGGTGCCAGATGACATGAGTAATGGTGGAGCTCAAATGACTCATGAGTGGCAATCACTGCTGATTTATTTCTTGGTGGTTTTGGTGGGTTTTTTTTTTTGTCCCCAGCTGATGTTTTTCAGCTGATTTCCCTGCTGGAAAATTTCCCTCCCTTCTGGCCTGTTTTGTGCCTTGGGCTCGTGGAGGATGAGCTGGGAGCTGCTCCTAGAGCAGAGGCTCTTCAAAATGAATCAAAATAATCATAAATATTGATTTTTTGGGGGCCAGGTCATGAACTTGAGGGTTTCCAAGAGCTGCTTCTGCCAGGGTTGCATCCCTCTCCTCCAGCTCCTCTCCCCGTGCTGGATGTAGGTCATTCAGGAGTGGGAGGTTAAGCTTCTGCCCTGCCCCACATCACTGGATCTTCTCTTAATCTTCCACCATAACTGGAGCATCCTGGGCTGCAGGAGCAGGATTTATCCTGCCAGCAGCCAGCCTGCATGTGGGAATGCTGTCGAGTTTCCATGTAAATAAAGCAACCTGCCTCCTTCCAGCCCTGTCCTTGAGCTATTTTGGAGCCATGGGAAGGAGGAGGCTCTTCAGGGAGGGACCTGACCACTTTTTTTTTTTCTCTCTCCTTTTCCTCCAGCTTCAGTAAAGCTCCCAGGTTTTTTTTCCCCTGCTTTTCCTGTGGAACAGAGAGGCTGAGCACGTGCCAGCATGGCAGGTATGGGGGGGTGGGTTCCAGCAGGGCTGCCCCTTGTCTCTGAAGGCCATCTGGGGGCTTCCTGGCCACAGGGTCACCTTGGTGGTCCCTGGTGGGGTTGCAGGATCCACAAGGGCTGAATTTGGCTGGGTGCATGTAGGAGGAGATGAGGAAATTCTTCCCTGTGAGGGTGGTGAGAGCCTGGCCCAGGTTGCCCAGGGAAGCTGTGGCTGCCCCATCCCTGGCAGTGTTGAAGGGCAGGTTGGATGGGGCTTGGAGCAGCCTGGGCTGGTGGGAGGTGTCCCTGCCCATGCAGGGGGGTTGGATCTTGATGATCTTGAAGGTCCCTTCCAAACCAGTCTGGGATTCTATGTGGGCTGTTGGTGGCTGTGAGGGGAAATCCTTCCTTCCTGCCTGGGGCTGAACGAGCCTCATGAGGAAAGACTCTTGATCACTGTGCTGGGCTCTGTGCAGTGCCCAATGCTGGGGAAACTTTTTTGCTTGCAGAAAAAGTGAACAACTTCCCTCCCCTGCCACATTTCATCCCCTTGAAGCCATGTTTCTACCAGGACTTTGATGCAGAGATCCCACCACAGCACCGGACCATGGCCAAGAGGCTCTACTACCTCTGGATGTGTGAGTGACCCCCGGGGGGGGTCCCTGCATGTGCCTCTCCCAACAGGGAGTTCCAAGAGCAGAGCGAGATCAGGGGAAAGTCCTTCTCCCCCTCCAGGCTGTGGTGCCTCCTGTTAAAACCCCCTGGGGGTGGGATGGGGACCTCAGCATCCTGTGGGCTTCCCCTGGGATGGAGGTCTGGGGGTGACTGGGTTGGTCACCTGGACTTCCCAGCTCAGCACCCACATCCCCTCTGGATAAAGGATTTACTCCCCTCAGCCAGGTTGGGAAGGGGTTTCTCTGGCACCCCAACCCCCTGGTGAGCCCTGTGGCAGTGGCCCCAGGCTGAGCTGCCCCTCAGACTGGGAGGTGCCTGCTCCCCAAAACAGGGGGAGTCCAGGGCTTCCCCCAAACCTGGGTCTCGCCTGTTCCTCTTGCATGCCCTGTGTGCCCTGCTGTGCTAACAGAGCTGTCACCGCCTCCTAACTCTTAAAACTAGCCTGGATTTCTCCTCCTTAACCAACCCTGGGTGGGGAGAAGACCCAGAGGGACAGATCACACCCCAACACACGTGGAAACGTTGTGCAGCTCAGGGCAAGCTGGCACCAGCATTTTATTTATGGCTTAAGTTCCTGAATCAGGTGTTTCCCCTGAACTTTGGAAGTGTGTCAGTGCCAGGGAGTGCCTTGTGCTTTGGGGGCAGGTGCTGAAGAGCTGAGCTGGCACCAGGGAGGTTGGGGGTCCCTGCTCTTGGCCCAGCACCAGGCTGGCACCCCCTCAGGCTGTGGTGGCCACATCCCATCAGGAAGGGTGACCCTGGGATACCTTCCCCCATGGTGGCAGGAAGCTTTCCTAGGAAAGGAGGGGTGAGAAAAAGTTGTGCTTCCTTGGATAAGCTCTCCTGGGGGTTTTCAATCCCACCCCAGTCTGGCTTCCAGCCTCTCCCACAGCACAAGGTCCAGCTCTCTCAGCCACTCTCTCCTCTCCTGGTTTGTCTCCGTATCATTTTCACCCCAACTCCCCCACAAAAACCCAGCCAGAAGCAAACACAGAGAGGCTGCAAGGTCCCCTCAGTGTCCCTGGGGGCTGGAGGGAGCAGCAAAGCCCTGCTCAGCCTGGCCAACTGAGCTCCCTTTCTTGCCAGCTGCAGTTTCTTGCGGGCAGCGGTGGGAGGGTCTGAATTCTTGTTGGAATAATGAAACATTCTCCAAAACCGGAGGCGTCAGAATGCAGATGAGCCTGCTCTGCTTTGTCCTGTGTCTGCTAAGCTGGCCTTCATAGTAATGGCCCTTGTATGGCTTCACCCCGAGCTGGGGTGGGAGAAACAAACGTCACCTCCCCCCCCCTCAAGCTGGCAGGGCAAGGGGCTGGAGTTCAGGGCTCGGGCTGGAGTTCAGGGCTCTCAGCGCTGCTCCGGGAGCACAAGATCCTTCAGTGAAGCTGTAGCTGGAGGCAAAGGAAAACGCTTTTTGATTCCTCCAGTTTCCTTCTGCTGATGGAAACGTGCCCTGGCAGCAGGAGGGGACAGCTTGTCCCCATCCCCAGCACCCCATGAGCCCTGCAGCTCCTTCAGGCATTTCCACTCCCAAGCGAGACAGATGCTCCCAGACTCAGCCAGCTCCACTGAAATGAAGTCAAACCCAAGGGAACACGGGGGCACCCCTGGGGTTGGGGGTCTCTCCTCTCACACCATCCAGGCTCCTCTGCTCCCTCTGTGTGTGTGTGTGTGTTTGCAGTGAACAGCATCACCTTGGCAGTGAATCTCGTTGGCTGCCTCGCATGGTTGATTGGAGGCGGCGGAGCTGTTAATCTTGGACTGGCAATTCTCTGGCTCATTCTCTTTACACCCTGCTCCTATGTCTGCTGGTTTAGACCTATTTACAAAGCTTTCAAGTAAGTGGTCACACCTGAGCTTCTCCTCAGTCTTGTTTTGGTTCCTTTCCTGAACAGTTAGTGCTTAGCTTGGGGCATTGCCTGAATATTTGGGGGGGATTTTCTGCTCTTTCTGTCCAGCCTTTGAGCTTGACTTTCTAACCTGCCAAGGAAAGGTTGGTTGGTTTCCAGAGGCCCAAACCCCTCATCATGACACATAAAGACATGGGGAGTGGTGAGGATGCAGTGGGGGTACCAACCTTCCCCTCTCTCCTTGCCCATCCTTGAGGTTTCTTGTCTATTTCTCCACAAGCCCTTGAGGTTCTGCTGACAATTCATGCTCCTGAGGGCAACTCCCAGTGCAGTGTCCCCAGATCTTGCTAAGCCACAGCATCTCCTGCCCTGAAAGGGTCTGAGATGTGGGAGCATCTCCCTTCCCTTGCAACACAGGAGGTGCAAGGGAGTGATGGAGTCTTCTCTTGCAGGACAGACAGTTCCTTCAGCTTCATGGCCTTCTTCTTCACCTTCATGGCCCAGCTGGTGATCAGCATTATCCAGGCAGTGGGGATCCCTGGCTGGGGTGTCTGGTAAGGAAGATGCTGCTCTCTTGTTGGGTGCAGAGACGGTCACTGTCGAGCTGGTGCTGTCCCCTCTGGGTGTTTTAACATCCTCAGTACTTCAGATGAGTAAGGGACTGGAACAATGAGGAAAGGGTGGGACACTTGGAGCTGTTTAGTCTGGAGGAGAGAAGACTGAGAGGGGACCTGATTCATGGCTGTAAATATCTGAGGGGTGGGTGTCAAGGAGTAGCCAGTCTCTTTTCAGTCATGCCCTGTGATGGGACGAGGGGCAATGGATTCAAACTGGAGTACAGGAAGTTCCACTTCAACGTCAGGAAAAACTTCTTGACTGTGAGGGTGACAGAGCCCTGGGCCAGGCTATGGAGTCATTCCAAACCTGTTTGGACACACTCCTGTAGGATCTGCTCGAGGTGATCCTCCTCTAGCAGGGGGCTGGACTGGATGACCTCCAGAGGTCCCTTCCAACCCCAACCATTCTGTCTTGGGGGAGCTGGGAGGGCTGGGGTGTGCAGAGCCAACCAGGAGCCCCCCAGTCTGCTGACTCAACCTCCTTCCCATCTCCTGGCAGCGGCTGGATTGCAGCCATCTCCTTCTTTGGGACCAACGTGGGGTCAGCTGTGGTGATGCTGATCCCCCCCATCCTCTTCACAGGGATGGCCATCTTCTCCTTCATCGCCCTCGGGGGGGGGGGCAAGGCTCAGGGTTGATCTGCCATCACTCAGCACCTCTGGATTTTTTCCCTTTCCCCAAATTCCAGGTGCATAAATTTTACCGGGGGAGTGGTGGGAGCTTCAGCAAAGCCCAGGAGGAGTGGACCACGGGGGCCTGGAAGAACCCCCACGTGCAGCAGGCGGCCCAGAACGCGGCGATGGGGGCAGCCCAGGGGGCCATGATGCAGCACGAGAGCCAGTACTCAGCCACCCCCAACTACACCTACTCCAACGAGATGTGAGCAGCAGGACCCTGTCCTGGGGCAAGAAGATCATGGTGGGGAGGGTTGGAGGGAAGTTCAGGCAGCAGGAGGAGGAGGAGTAGGGCTGAGTGTCTTGCAGCTCCTTCGGCAAGTCGGAGTGTACCATAACAGTTCTTTTCTCTTTGTAAAGAGATCCAGTTGGGATTTTTTTCTTTCTTTTCTTGTTATTGTCTCAAGCTCTTCCTTTTCTCCTTCTTTTTGGTTTGGAAGAGGCTGTGAATTGACCCACAGGGCTCCTCTTGTGTGTGGTAGTCAAGTGTATGTTCACCTGTCTTCTTTTCTCTCTGTGAAACAGTGTATACACAGTGGTGGGTTTTTAATTCCTGTGGTGATGATAGGTGTTAGATCACCCCTCCCTTTCATCCCCCCTTCCTGAAAAGGGAAAAAAAAAATAGCAACCCATCTTCCCCTCTTGCTGGAAGCCAAGAGATCCCTCATCTCCACCCTGGCTCAGGATCTACAACTTCTCTCAGTGTGTGGTGGTGGGAGCAGCTGGAAGCTCCCGTGTGTGTGCCCGTGTGCTGGGGAGCAGGGAGGGTTTCCCCTGGCAGGGTATGACCCTCCTGTGCCACATTCTGCATCCCCAGCCTGTGGTTTGGTTTGATTTTTTTCTTCTCTTTTGAAAAGCAGCCCTAAAACGGGCAGAGTGTTGCTCAGAGGAGCTATTCTTGGGTGAGGCTGCTGGTCAAACCTTGTCACCCCGTGGTACAACCCAACCCACTGACCATTTTTGAGGTGGGCATTAAATTGAAGGCTTGGTAGGAAACCTCCAGGCTGGTGGGAAGGATCTCCTTGCCTGTGTTTCTGAACTCTGGCCGTGTCTTTTCCTGGTGCAGAAATCCCTTCTGACAGCCCCAAATTCCTGCCCAGTTTGGGGAGGTCGGGCTTCCAATAACCCAGCTGGCAGAGCCTGGAAAAGATGGGCTGGGAAATGGGAACTGAGGGATGCTGTGGGGCAGGAGGAGGGAAAACTCCTTCTCAAGAGATGCTTTTCAGACATCACCTGCCCTTTCAATAAGCCAAATTGATCTCCAAGTCCTAGAAAAGCAGCTCAAATGGGATCTGATCCAGCCTCTCCATCCTGCCTGTTGCGGGTGACAAGCTGAGCCACCCAGAGCTGTGTGGGTCCCCAGCCCCTCACCCCTGTCCCATCCAGCTCTCAGGGGGGGGGTTGTCCCTGACTCCTACCCACAAGAATCCCCCTAAAAGACCAAATTCTCCTTCCCAGCAAAGCCCACCCAGAATAGTTTCCTTTGTCAGGGGAGCACTTTGCTCATTCTGCAACAGGCAGAACGATTCTCTGGACAGGAATCCTGATCAACCCCCTGTCTGTGTGTGTATAAAGATGTATAAAATGTAAGGAGAAAAGTCATCTTTTCCTGAGCCTGTTCTGTACTGAATCAGGTTGAAACCTTGTGCAGTCCCTCCCTAGCTAGCAGCAAAGCTCCTATGCCAAACCACCTGCTCTTGTCATTCGTGTCTGAGAAATGATGGATGAAGTGACTTCACCTTTTACATTGACAATAAGATGCATCAATAATAACTGTAACCAGCTGTCACTAACAGACCTTGCTTCAGCATCCAACCCTCTCTGCTGTGTCTCCTGAACGTTTGCATAGAATCTCAGGCTGGTTTGGGTTGAAGGGACCTTAAAGATCTAGATCCAACCCCCTGCATGGGCAGGGACACCTCCCACCAGCCCAGGCTGCTCCAAGCCCCATCCAACCTGCCCTTCAACACTGCCAGGGATGGGGCAGCCACAGCTTCCCTGGGCAACCTGGGCCAGGCTCTCACCACCCTCACACTCCACAATTTCCTCCTCATGTCCAACCTCAATCTCCCTCTGCCAGTTTTCATCCATCCCCCCTCATCCTATCCCTCCCTGCCCTTGTCCCAAGCCCCTCCCCAGCTTTCCTGGAGCCCCTCCAAGCACTGGAAGGTGCTCTAAGGTCTCCCTGGAGCCTTCTCTTCTCCAGGCTGAACACCCCAACTCTTGTCCCAGCCTGGCTCCAGAGCAGAGCTGCTCCAGCCCTGGGATCATCTCTGTGGCCTCCTCTGGACTCTGTCCAGGAGCTCCATGTCCTTATGTTGGGGGCTCCAGTTCTGAGCACTGACCTCAGACCAGCCCCTCTAGCTCCAGCTGTAGGTGACAAGGTTCAGAGGGGATGTGCCCAGGGAGCACCCCGGGCAGGGCTGGGGACCATGTGCTTCCCAGGGAATCTGCTGCTGCTAACCAAGCACCTTTCCACCCTGCCAGCTCTGCAGCCGCCCCGGATCCTGCAGGAAAACTTCCTGCTGGGCTCATCAGTCAGCGGGAGCTGCTTCTCGTGGGGCTCCAGGAGCAGCCCCACACCTCTCAGACACCCCTGTACCCCTTCAGACACCCCTGTTCCCCCTCAGACACCCCCGTTCCCCTTCAGACACCCCCGTTCCCCTTTAGATACCCCTGCTCCCCTTCAGATACCCCTGTACCCCCTCAGACACCCCTGCTCCCCTTCAGACACCCCTGATCCCCCTCAGACACCCCTGT